ATGAAGGCAGTATTTCTTTTTCTTAGGAACACGGGGCTGTACAATCAGGATATAGAAGGGAGGCCGTGACCGGCCTCACACTCCAGTGCAGTAGGTGGCGGTATATGCACCTTAAGTTGGTGCGATCTGCCAGTAAACGAAAAAGAAGAAGAAGAAGAAGAAGAAAGAAAAGGCCACAGAAAGGTGAAGCCACGGGGAATCAAGCGAGAGGGCAGCAAGACAACGGACGAGCAGGCAGGGTGCAAACTAGGAGAGGAACGAAACGGACTGGACACCTCACCCAGGAAAGGAAGGGAACCGGAAACAAGAAGAAAGGGCAAGACTGATCAGCAGCAGTGGCTGGTCGAATTCTTAAATCCTTTTAGTACTTTGTTCCAGCTGGACTTTTAATATTGTAGTTATTTATGGGTTTTTAGTTAATAATAAAATCCTCCTTTTAAACCACGCTTTTAAGTCTTGTGATCCATGCTGTCCTTCCTCTGGTGAACAAGAACCTGTTTTATGGAGACCTAGACTCCGCAACTAGGTGGCGTTGCTGGTACCTTTTTTATAAATGTATCTTATTTTTTATTAGATTTTAAGTCCCCCGCCTCACAGGGCTGACATAATCACTTACCTTCAATTTCATCCTGGTTTTCTTTTGCTGTAACTTCAAAAGGCGTTTTCCAGATTAGTGCCTGGATGGACAAACAATGTGCTGGATTGATGAGCAGCACGTTTCTCCTTCAATGAACTGAACCTTTGCTTTCATTCTTAAGTGGAATACGGACTGCAGCCCATCACACCAGTTTAACATGAAGATGAGAAGGACGAGGTGAAGCTGAGCTCTGGCCTGAAGAGGTATTACGTCAATGTTTGTTAGCAGAGAGAATGACATTCTTCTTTATATTGTGGCAACCCACGAAGCAGCACCCTGGACAGCGCCTCAAGAGCTCAGCACCAAGGTCTGGGGCACCGACGAGCCAGAGGTCAGGTGAGAAGGGGAAACGCCCCCCCGCCCCCCCACGCTATAAAGGACCACCCATTCATGCAGCCTGGGGAACTAGACGTATAGGAGATGGCCTCACGCTGGGGGGGTTTTGGAGTGAGTGTAAATCCTGTTTTCTGTGCTTCCCGCAGGAAGGGGACTGAAGGCCGAACAGCCTGTTGAACCGAGCCCTCAAAAGAGGAAGAACCTATTTTGCCCTTTTCCCTTTTTTTGTATGTCAAAATAAACCGTACCCTTTTTTTGTGTGCAGCTGGTCGTGTATCCGAGTCCTGTGATGTCACCCACACCCGTTGGTTGCCACAATATATATATATGTATATATATATATACATATATATATATATATATACATATATATATGTATTTTACTGTATCTGCGGGCGTGTTGCTCACTGACATAATGACGCAGTACTCGTTCAATGGACACAGATTAAGCCCTTTAATATTTATCTGCATAAGATATTTAAGAACAAGTTACTGTTCTCACGCAGAAGGACGTATTAGAATGTGACTCAAAGCTGAAGTCACTCAGTGAGTGTTACACACTAAATGAAGAGATGTCCACATGTGAATCTGATTGTTACTGTTCATTTATTTTCCTGTCAGGATGTTGGATTATTGCTCATTCAGGTTTATCGTTGGCTTGAACCTAAAGACAAAAGTTGACTGAATATTCTCCCCTTAAGTTCTCAGTGTGCTCTTCTATTCTATTGCTGAATTAAATCCACCCTGATCGTGGCACAAGTATTTTTAATCAAACTAGCAGTTCTTCTAGTTT